CACCATATCATAAATTACAATTCAAAAATAATAGCCGAATTAAAGTGGTAATCTAAGGTTTCATTGCAGATACAATCACCCCAACTTGTTCAACTGGTCAACGTATAGTGTGCGCTTTGTAATCCCGAAACTGGTGCCACGTCACGTTATATATATATGAGCAGGTTAGTATGTTTTTGTGCATACTGGCACGCGAGAATAGTTATCGACAAGTGCAAACGTTGTTCAAACATTTACCACAGACTATTGCCCATTGTTTCAAACATCGATAACTATTCTCGCGTGCCAGTATGCACAAAAACATACTAACCTGCTCATATATATATAACGTGACGTGGCACCAGTTTCGGGATTACAAAGCGCACACTATACGTTGACCAGTTGAACAAGTTGGGGTGATTGTATCTGCAATGAAACCTTAGATTACCACTTTAATTCGGCTATTATTTTTGAATTGTAATTTATGATATGGTGTGTAACATCTTCCGGATTAGGAATATAAAGGAACGTCCAATAAATATCTCAAAAATGTCGTCATTTTTTTATATATTGGATCCGCAAAATCGGAATGTACTCGTTACCCAACCCAAGAAATTGTTAGGGCATTAACGTCAATATGTCCAAAAGGTTGTATTAAAATATTGGCAACTCAACATTCAATTTTGACTAGTGTACGTTTCCCTGCATGTATGTTCCGTGTGGGACCCAGTGGCCATCAACAATTGACTGAAGAAAATGAGAAATAATGGAAAGAAATGGGGCTCAAACGTAAGCTACATAATGATACATTCGATCATTTCAATTAATTTAACTACAAAGATGCGTGGTTCAATATTTTCTACTTTAGACCATTATTCTTGGTTTATTCTTTTTAACCAGGCTTCTTCAAATAATTTTCCAAAATGATTTCAAATGCTGTTCAATTTTTTTGTTATGGGCTCAAAGCAATGAAGATGATTGTTATGGGCTAGACATTGATGAATTGATCGCTCAACAAAATCAAAATAACTATATGGACCCAGTTATTTTGATGAATATAGACAACTTTGTGTCTGTAATGCAAGAAACATGTTATTGAAGATGTGCTTGTCACCTCAAAAGCTACTCATGCCAGCTCTACCGACACTCAAGAAAATGACATTTTTATTGTAGTAAATTTAATAAAATAGTACCATTATTCAAACAACACGAAAAGAAGAGGACAAGTGGCAGACAAAAAGACAAGCAATGACAGATATTATTGCTCCCTATATCATCCTTTAAGATTCTTCAATCCACTGAAGCCACGTATTCATAAAATCTTGATCACATTCGACTATCATGGTCACGTGAACTCTTTATGTTTATAACACATATCGTTCTTGAAAATAGAATCAGGACATAGACATAGATGATGTTATGAGCTCAAGTCACGTATTCATAAAAATTTTGGTCACATTCGGATGTCATGATTTCATATGAACTCTTTATGTTTAGAACACGTATCATTCATAAAATTAAAATCAGGTCACAAGCATACATAAAATTATGCATTCAATCCACATATTCATAACAACTTCGGTCACATTCGGATATCATGGTCACATTTAGGTTCTTTATGGTTAGAAAACATATTAGTCATAAAAAAATAAAATCAATTTCGACAACACATATGATTCAAATACAAAACCCTAACCCATTCCAATCACAAATGTCCAATACATTTTCAATAATTACCCAATGAATACATTTTCAATACTTACCCAACGATTTTTTTTAATACATATATATCAGTTAAATTATAAAAAAAATTAAAATTAAAATAAACTTGTTCGAAGGTTCTTTTCGCACTATCACAGACGATGAATGCTTTTTCAGTGGGTTTTTTTTTTAGATTTTCCTCAATCTTCCTCTTGCCTTTTTTCTCTGGTGGCGTGTCTTCGATATTGATTACCCTTTTTTCATCCTTTGATTTCGCTATTTTACTTCGATTACGGAATCTTTGGTTTTCAAAAGATAATGAAAGACATAATGAATAGAATGGATGATGTTAGTAATATAAAGATGAGAAGCACAAAATGTAGTTGAAATGATCGGAATGGGAAGCAACTGAATGGAGAAACCGTGTGGAGTCATGAGGGAAGAATTTGAGAGATAATGGATTTGAATAATAATGGAAGTTAAGATAATGGGTAATTTGAATTATGATATTTAAGGGAACGCACCATATGTATTTACTATACATATTATTTAATTATTAGCTATAATTAAAATAATTAATATTTAATCATTAACTCAATACTTGAAATCTTGTTAAAAAAATCTTCTGACCTTTGCATTGTCGACTTAAAATACTTGGAGCTGTGTAATTTCAAATAAAATTACTGCACTAGTCAAAGTATGACATTCATAATGGGCAGATAGACAGTTGAGCTATGGGCCTTAACCCAATAAACATTGAGAATAGAAGATATTTGCTTTGCAACCAAAAATAAAGAAATAGAGAGGGGGGAGAAAACCATGAATTTTGTAAGGGTAACTTCTAAAAATACCCTTAAAATCAGGAGTCTTTTGAAAAATCATATGAAAAGTTTTTTGGAAGTAAAAAATACTTTGTAAAATTAAAAAAGTTACACGATATCACTTTTTTTTATAAAAATTGTGTCACAAAGTTTAGTATCACTTTATTGTTAAAAAATTACATACAATGTCACTTTTATTACAAAATGAAAAGTAACAGAAATTTTTAAAAAAAAGTGATGAATTTAAAAAGGTTACATAAATTAAAAAAAAATTACACAGATTCAAAAGGAGTGACAGAAAAAAATATGTGACAATCACTCAAAAAGTGACAAACTAAAAAATGTTGATAAACTAAAAAGTGACGAAATTCAAAAAAGTGAGAAACACTCGTTGAATAATTAATATCTATTTTACTCTATTAAGACTTTTGGTAGAAATAAAAGTCATGTTTGTAAAAGAAAAAAATATATATATGTGATAGAAATCAGGAAGGTGACTGAAAAGAGGGACACACTAAAAGAAAAGTGACAAAATTTCAAATACTAAATAATGTGACAAAAAATTTTAAAAAGTGGCAAATTCAAAAAAGTGACACTAATTAAAAAAAAAAAGTTACACAGATTAAATAAAGTGACAGAAAATAAAAAAGTGATCCATTCAAACAGTACCAAATTAAAAAAGGTGACAAACTCAAAAAATTGACAAAAAAAAATGTGACAGATAATAAAAAAGTGATACACATGACAAGTGTCACTTTTTAATAAAAGTGATATTGTGGGGGTGTTTGATAGGCATTTTTATGTAAAAATGTATTTTAGAATAGTAAATTGATATCAAATGTGAGTTGAAAAATAAAGAAAGTTTTTTATTTACGCGTAATATTATTTTAATAAAGAATGTGTGACTAAAAAGAAGAGAGAGAAAAATGTATTTTGAAGAAAATGGTTACCAAACGGGCTCTGTATGTTATTTTTTAATATAAAAGTGACACTTAACTTTTAAAATTAACATTGTGTCACCTTTTTTTCATTAAAAAGTGTTTATTTTTATTTAAAAAAGTGACCCAAAAAATGCCACTTTCACTCGCCCCTTTTGTATATGAGTTCAATCCCAAAATTGGTTTGTTTAATTGATGAATTGATGCAATTGGTGGAGGACCTATCGTTGTACAACATTAATTGAAGGTTGGATCCTGGAATTGCTAGGTTGAAATGTTGTGGAGTACTCAATTGAAAGGGGATCGACCTAACTTGTGCGTGAACTGCTTGGCTTGATTCAGCCCTATTGTTTTGAAATTGGAGATGACCCATGAGTTCATTGGATGCGCCATTATGAGGCTGTGCTAAAGTTGGTGGTCCGTGATCGTGGGTTGCGTTGCCGATGCCGAAAGTTGTGGTTGAAGGGTCCGAGTTTGCTGTTACAAAAAACAGCTCGAGAATTGGATTTTTGCATTGTTTGTTGTTATTTTCACATCTGTTGGTGCGTAATGATGAGCATGGTCAAGTTGAAGGATATGGGTAGGTGATGGTTGTCGCCAAAAGTGGCATTTCCGACCTTTTTGATTGTGTGGACAGCCTATTTTAACTAGAAATTCCAGCCAGTTTCTAATAAATTTTACTGACTTTCAAAAAGTTTTATGCTTTTAAATCACTAAAAACGTAATTAGTACGGTTATTAAAACTTTAATTTGATTTAAGTGTACTAATCAATTCCTTCTTTTTTAGAGTATTGTGCCCAGTGGCGGAGCCAACACCCGGTAAGGTGGTGCGACCACTCGTGCTGGCTTCGTCGAAATCTACAAGTTGGATTTTGATGAAGGCTTTTTTGCAGTCGTCATTGTTGCAGAATATGGGATGCTTGAACCGATGGAGGAAGGTGAGTATTGGACTTGGGCCTTTTTTAAACTTTGAGCCTTTTGTTTTGGAATTTTTGGGTTTATATTAGGCCTATTCAGTATACATAGGCTGCTTTGTATTGTAATTAGCCATAGGCCCGTAACCCATATGCTTCCTAAACTCATTAAGTCACTGTTTGATCTCTATTACCAAAAAATTGAAAATAGAGGGAATATTATTTTTTAGAAAAATAATTGATTGAAAAAAA